AAATTAACAATTATTTTTGAACAACGTTTGTGACATTGATGACACTTGATTGAATTGTTACCTACACCAGCTTTACAAACTGAACAGAGCAATCGTCCAGTAGCTGTGAATTGGATGGGTTCACCAGTGTTCATTGCTTTGGTGTGGCTGATGTTGACTTTGAATCCACCGTTTTGTACCAGTTTTCCAACAAACTGTAGTTGCAGCGTTTATCAAAACAGTTTTGTATCTACTCCAATCTGTACTGGATTGCGATTGGTGGTCTAACTGTGTGGCGACAATCTGTTGAAATTTTTCTCGATGAATAACGCTTTTCAGCTTCCACATTTTGATTTTCCGAGGCATTTGTTTAGATTTAAGTTTTGATAGTTTGACAACCAGGTCTGCCACAAGGAGTCTATGTTGGGCGACACATGATTCGCCAGGTATAACTTTGACATTTTTAAATAGCCTTCGGTGTGGTTGCTTGACAGCGAAGAAATCAATTTGCGTGGCTGACGAGTCCACTTTTGTATGTTATGAGATGTTCCAACCTCTTTCTAAAATATGTGTTCAGTAAACAAAACCCGTGACTTTCAGCAAACTCAAGGATGCGGTTGCCATCTTTATTCCGTTCTCCATAGCCAAAACCGCCATGTACGTTGTCAAAACCATCTGTTTTCTCTCCAACGTGGCCATTGAGATCGCCTCCAATCAGGATTGTTTCAAATTTTGGTATTGTTGAGATGGTGTCAGAGAACGCAGCCCAGAAGTCATTTTTTTATGTCTTCTGATTCGCCTGTCTGTGGTGCGTATGCAGAAAAAATAATCATTGTTTGCTTTTCTAGGCAAAGCTTGATCCACATGAAACGTGAATTAATCCTTTTAATATCCAGTACTTCTTGGGCTAGCGGTTCTCTGACAAAAATTCCAACACCATTTTTGGCCGTATTTTGACCATTCCAGAATAGTTTATATTTTTCTTTGTCTGAGTTGACATGACAGACACCATTCGATTTCCATCGGGTTTCCTGAAGGCAGCAGATGTCAATCCTTCTACGCTCGAACATTTTTGCAATTTCCATGCTGCGGCCAGTCAGTGATCCATATATAGTGATCAGCGATATATATATGTATATATATATATATATAAATTATTTCAAAAATTCAACACTACTTTCAACATTGTAAAAAATGATGAAAGTACATAGTTAAAAGTAGTGTTGAATTTTTGAAATGTTGCGTTAACAACAGTCTGTTACCAAAATATATATCATTAGTAAACCATTACTCGCCACAGGCCATTCGTAAGGCGACACAACTCAATTATTGTAACCAAGAAAAGCAAATTGAGTAGTCGGCGACTTATTAAAAACAACATCACGTTGTCACAAAGTTTAAGAACCCATTCAGTCGCAAGAGGTATTATTGGTAAACCATTACCCGCCATAGGCCAGACGTACGTTTCGTCTCTCACGAGACTCGCCAGTAGCCTGCCGAATAAGGTTTAAGATAATACAAATCAATTATTGTAACCAAGAAACGCGAATTGAGTAGTCGCGACCAACAGGTAAGAACAACATCGCGTTGTCACAAGGTTTATATATATAAATGTATTCCATGATGTATTCCATGATGTCATCTATTCCAGGTGCTATCTTTTTTGTCACTTCGTTTAGCTTTCTGTAGTCCACAAAAAGTGGCTGTTGCCGTCTTTTTTCTTTACTAAAACAACTGGCGAGGTCCAAAGACTAGTTAACGGTTCGATGACACTTTGGTTTGGCATTATATTATCATTTCGTTTACCTCTTCTTACTTTGCTAATGGAAGACAGAGTGGTACTTGTCTGATTGGCTTCGAGTCCTGAGTATCGATTTGATGAGTAACTTGGCCCATTTTTCCTTGATTATAGTCTCCGGTTGAAAATACAACCTCAAAATCTGCTATCAAATTTTCGTCTTTTGAACGATCTCCCTGTTGCAAAGTGAGTTATATTAGACCATATTATTATTAAACCCTATTATTAGACATTTTAGACCATCAGTAAACTTTTTAAGATTATCCTTATCGACTTAACCGACCCCTATTTTGATGTTGAATATCCAGACTTCACAATATTTACAGATTGACAAAAGCCTATTTCTTGGTCCTTTTCAATTGTAATGGAATGTTCTGCCACATTTAACACCCGAACTCGAACAAAGCCATGTTCATTTGCTTTTACGAAACTTTTTTCCAATAACAATGTTTTCAATTTACGTCGTCGTCGTTGGCTCAACCAGGTAGAATTGGTGGTCCCCAGTATCGCCAATTATTTTCGCCCATATGATGTTCTCTGATGATTTAGGTACTTCAACTTTTCCATCCAACCAAAGGTCGTATTGACTTCGATTTAGCCTAGAGACCTTATTTACGGTACTGGGGGCGTCAATTCTACCAGCCAATTTCTGCCCGCAAAATTGGCTTTGGCTTTGGCTTTTTATAGTTTCCCGCCTCCTTGTTGAGGCAGTCGGTTATGACGCGGGGTCACCATCTAACCGTTTGTGCCATGTTGCTGCACAACAACAATAGTAACTGTTTCTCGGGCATTGTTTAAAATCTTTTCGTAGATTCATAGATGTCGTTTTCCCCAAAATTCTAGCATTTTGGCGCACCATAATTCTGACCCGTCGGTTCTAGAACCATCTTTTGACACAAACATTCTTCACAAATTTAGCGCAGTTTTACGTCAGCCTTTGATGCTTGCTTTGCTGAATCGAATGTAAGACTGTAGGCCACGGCTTCTTAGAGGTTGCATTTGTCCGCGAGTATGAGAGTTTGTCTAAGATTTGAATCTCGAACAGCCTTTACAAACTTTTCCGTAGGGTATGAGAGCAAAGTTCAACACCCTGTGCCAGCTGCTGTATTGACTCTCCAGGTCGCTGCGTCCGGTTTCGTAACTGGGACCAATATATGTGCTTCATGTGATCTTCACCATAACGTAAATTCAACGTATTTATCAGAACTTCATAGTTGGAATGGTTCTCGACTGGAATCGTTTGGAGGACTTCTGCTGCTGACCCTCGTAACGCTACCATAAGAGCCGTTGCCCGCTCTCTTTCATTCCAGCCATAATTCATCGTTGCTTTAAAAATGTTCCAAGAAATTTCTCGGTCGAATGCTGGCGCTTTCAATGTCTTCAAAGTCATGTGGCTTACAGGTGTGGAGTTTATTTTCTTAGTTTCTTCCAGTTCTTGTTTAAATTTCTGGTCAATTTTGGACGTGATGTTTTCCATTCTTATCATCTGGTATTCTATTTTTGCGTTAATTACGGCCGATTGCTCTTCACTTTTGACATCCAATTGTTCTGAGTTCTTTTAATTGTTGTACAATTTTGGCATCTCTTATTTGTTTTATTTCTATTGACTGTTGCTTTATTTCTGCTAATTGTTGTCCAATCTTTGCATCAAATTGGTCTCTCGTCTGTTTTATTTCTGCTAATTGTTGTTCAATTTTTGAATCAATCGCGGCCGACTGTTCAACTTTGGCATCAATTTGTTCTCTCATCTGTTTTATTTCTGTTGACTGTTGTGCAATTTTTGTTGACTGTTCAATTTTTGTAGATTATTGTTTTATTTCTGATGATATCGTTCAAAGCAAAGCCATCAATTCGGTGTTTGCCCCAGCCAATAAAGAAATCTGACAACTAATTTCCATCTAAGTTCACTTTGACACAGTGAATATTTCCCTATATAAATTAAATTGCACTGATGATGATTCATTCTGAATCGAAATATGGCCTTATTTGCAGCATGAATTCGGAAAATAAGTTTATTTTGAGTTTAAATAAACTAAACGTTCTCCAAAAAACTTTAGTAGTAAAAAAAAATCAAAAAAACGAACTACAAACATATTAACGCCAAACATTCGGTAGAATTTATAGAATTTTGTAAAAATTATGGCATATATATATATATATATATATATATGTTTATATATATATATATATATACATAAATACATACATATATACATATATATATATGTTGGTAATAGACCATAATTCTTACAATATTCCATTATAGAATATTGCAATAAATATATATATATATATATATTTATATATTTATATATATATATATACCATATATATATACATATATACATATATATATATATGTACTTATTTATATATATATACTATATATATAAACCATATATATATATATATATATATATATATATATATATATATATATAATTTTTGGATTCATGGAATGAGAAGTAGTTTAAAATATAATTTTCAACAATACAAAGCTGACAATCGAAATTGAACGTTTGGTTTTAATAAATGAATAAAGTCATAAAAAAAACAAATTGTTTACGATTTTTATAAGTGGGTTCAGCGAAATAACAAAATTAAAACTTATTTACGGCATAAATACATCGGTCCAAAAATTATTTAGATCCACGACTTTAGTCGTCTATGAAGTACGCTCTGGAGGAAGTATCAGCAATTAAAATAAATGTACTGGAGAATATTTTTCACGTTCTTTCTTTTTCCATTGCACTGTGATCTAAAAAACATTTTTTTAAATTCAAAAGCAGCGGGTAGTAGTATTGCTACAGGTATTGCTAATAACAATCCTGCAACCAGCTATGTAGGAAACGATCTTTGATTAATTTGTTGCAAACATTGTTTATACAATTGCCAATTTTCTGAACAGTCACATTAACTGGTTTAAAGACTGTTCGACTACAAGAACTGGTTAACACATTTAGTTGCTTTAATTCTATTGAAGATGTTTTCAGTCTAACATTTCATTTATAGAAATAACTTACAATTTGTAAAATAACTTCCCTTCTAAACCTGATTCCCTGATAAAATCCAGTATAGCCAAAATTTTTGGCTGCTATTGGCATGAAAACGAACAAATACGGTAGACATGAATAAATTTAACTAGCATTAAAAAATGATGAACAAAATATTTTTCATAAATACAAATTTTTATGATGTATTTAAGATGAGAACTAATACAAACCATATGGTGAAAAAACTCGAAGATTTATTGGAATATTAGATATGCCTTTGTTGGACCCTGTCAGTCGATCAGTTTCATCCTCAATTTCTTTTCTTACCAACTCAAAATCTGTAAATATCCGTCCTTTGCAATGGAGAAATTCTGCATACTCTTTGGAAAATAATATAAAAATACAAAAAAATACAAAAAATTAAAATTTAATGCAATAAAGTTATTCGATACATAGCAACCATAGTATAAATAAATAAAAATAAATAATGGGCTTAATATAATATAATATATATGCCCATATCAAAATAGCATTAAAAGACAACAAAAAGCAATCAAACAACAACGTCGATTTTATGATCATAGAGGAATTCTTTGTTGGCCATATATAAGTCAAAATTCTTCTTGAAGTTGGAAACAGTATCTGATTCAACAACGCATGTCGGTAAATTGTTCCAAATAGAGATCACTCTGTTAGAAGACGAATACTTTCTTATATTTGAATGGAACTTTTGAACATGTATTCTATAGTGATGCTCTCTGGTACGTGGATCCGCATCAAAATACAAAGCTGGTGAGGAATCTCTATCTACCATACCCTTTGCAATGTTGAAAATCATTAATATGTCTCCACGAACAACAAAGGCCTTTGTAATCCCTGACCATCTTGGTTGCCCGTTTCTAAACCCTTTCCAATTCGTCAATTTCCTTTATTTTCCAAGGAGATCATACACTGACACCATACTCTAATTTTGACCTAATTAAAGATTTATAAACCAAAATAAATGACTATAGTTAAATTTTTAAAGTTTCTGTATAACAATCCTAAAAGAACAAAACATTTATTAATAACATGATGTATATACTTGAAAGTTCAAACAAAACCCCCAAATCGTTTACTTCACCACAAAAATCCAAGTTAGAATTATTTATATTATAACACCAATTATTATCGAAACACGAATGACCAAATTTTATAGCCGCACACTTTTCAATATTCAAATCGATTTTCCATAACATACACCAATCATACAATTTATCAAGATATTTTTGTTGCACTATTCTATCATCCACACATCTTATAAAATTAAACATTTTAGCATCATCAGCATACAAACATATTTGAACAGAACTATCTTTCATAATATCAAACATGTCATTCACATACACAATAAACAAAGTCGGACCTAATACACTTCCTTGAGGCACTCCACTACTAACTTCAAACCTTTTAAACAAACAATTATTCACTCTCACACTAGAAGTTCTACCACAAATACCCCTTAATCCATTCAACCAAACAATCATTCACACCGTAACCACGCAACTTATTAATCAATAACACATGTGGCACTCTATCAAAAGCTTTAGTAAAGTCTGTGTAAATAACATCAACATTCAACCATAGTATAGAAAACTACAAGATAAGTCACCATTTTAATAACTGGGTTTTTATTTCTGATTGTCTTCCGGAAACCGGGATTTGCTGTTGTTTACTTTTTACGCACTATCGTATTGTATTACCGCTATCGTTGTATTCGGGTTTCAGAGAAAATACCAGATTTTAAATTTTTACGAGCGTTAATTTAGCCTATATATTTTAAAACCATCATTGTAATAATAATTACGACTAATATTTATTTTTAATCGATCGCGATGCTCAACTCGTAACTATAGCTCGATTCAGTAAAAGATTTATTTAACTGATACCTAAATAACCATTAATTTTGACGTGAAGATGTTGAAAGCTTTTTTGTCAAAACTATTTTTATCTGTTCATAAAGTGGATAGGCTTGTCAAGGAATAATTGTTCTCTTTGATGTAGCAGTAGCACATGCGATCGACATCAAGTTAAGATATATCAATTCAAAATTGGTATTTCAGGAATGTGATGCACAGAAAATAGTATAACGCAAAGAACAAAAAATCAGCAACAACAACAATGCAGCTAACAATAACAACAAAAATAACATTGTTATATTTTATAAGAACCACATGTCAACTGCTTTCGAACAGGATTAAAAATCATGAAAAGGATCATAATAAATAACTTTCAAGCAACAAACGATAACGATAGTATTAAACTACGAATATACTACTCTATTCAAAGAAAGTTATCTTTCGTGATGAAAAACAACAGCACTAGTAAGCCAGAATCAATAATGGATCATAGCCATCTAACATGTTCGTTAAAATGTAATATTGGTAGTGTGGGCACCATAACTCTGAATATGACGATGACCAATATCGAGAAGACTCACGATGCACGTACAAACTGGCACTATAAAGCATCACATGAAAGAGAAACACAAAACTAAAATTATTAGGCAAATCTTAGACAACAATGTTAAAATCTTACAATACAACAAACATTATAATTTACGATAGGCCGAATTAATACTCATAGAACAAAGACATCCAACGATAAATATTCAACAACGTACAATTGGAGTCCTTTCTTCCCATTAACAAATTTAGAAACAGAAGAATCATCGATAATAACGACACGTAAAAGTGTCATATTGCACAAAATTGAAGATCGTAATGAATTGTTTGCATTAAGTTATTATCATAAAATCAAATTAACAAAAAAATAATTCACTTTAAACCAACAATGAATTAACATTGTAGAGACACAGCATATATATACTTGAACATCTGGCCACATACACAACGTATCAATTTGAACACCGAAAATGGTATAGGAAAACCAAAAAAACTTTTCTGTTCTATCAATCAATTAGTTAATAAAGCGCTATTTCCGCGATTTTCAACAGCACTCCTCAATGAATTTGGTAAGCAGATGGGTCTTGAGATCCGCTCTGAACTTTGTAAGTGATGGAGAAGTAGTCAGAGAAGGAGGTAGAGAGTTCCAATGAAAATGGTCAGAAAAAGCAAATCCAGATTTAACAAAAGAGTGTTTAACACGAGTTAAGACGAAGCAAGAGCAAGAAGACGATAAACAAATCCACGTTTTGTACAATGTTATCTAGTACGGAATCTGTTTCCGGTGATGAATCTTTTAGAGAACAAGCTTTAATTTTGGTTTTGTCATAATTCCTAATTCTTAATGTTCAAGAAGTTTACCTTGAATGGGATAGAACTTCGCGCACCTCTGCAAATAAAGCGTCATCCTCAGGACAGTAGAACAGTCAAAATAATCCACTAGAGCCAAAAATTTAATCGGTGTGAAGCAGCTCTCTCTCCTCTCTCTCCACTCTCAGACGCTATTATCAATTCCGAACTTCCAAAAAACTGTCTTGTGATTTTATTGCTTATTGGGGATATGATGTAGCAGTAAATAACCGAATTATGCGTGCAATAAGTCAATTTTACAAATAATGTAAATTAAAAATAAACTAATAAGCCCAAAGGGAAAGGTTTATACAGCATTCATTCGATGCTGCATGTTATACGATAACTAAAACAAAATTTAGATTCAAGAAGACTACTAACAAATTGAGTGCTGAGTGAAGTCATGTAAGTGGAACTTAAACAAGTTTAGATTATTTAGCCATGTCAAAGAATGTTGAAGTGAATAAAGCGGGGAGTAGATCTTTGCAGATTTTAGGAATAAAATTTTACAAACTAATTTTAAATCCGTTTTCAGCATTAGATGGAAACATTAAAAATACTAGGCAAGCATAAAAAATGTGATCATTGCTCTCTGCACAAAATTGGTAATGGATTCCTCGATGTATGCCAGTTATGATATCAACATCGTCAACATGATGGTATGATTTACTACAACTACAAATAATTTATTCTAGAATAAATAGTTCCTCTAATTTCAAACTACTCAACATCTACATCATCTGGAATTTTTTTTCTATTTGAGTGAAATATCTTTCATTAAGTGATTTCTAATCACATTATCAAACTTAATTTTTTTCGTTGATGACTTCTGGAGAAACTTTAGAGTAACAAAAATTAATAGCACGTGAAAATGATAGATTTGAAAAAAATTTGTACAGCACATATTTTGATAGAAAGCTAGCTTGAGACAATTCTAACAAAGAAAAAAAATCAAATAGATAAAAAATGGTAGTTATAAACAAATGTTTCATAATATTCATAAAATATTCATAAATATACTTATATTTACCTTGCTTAGAATAAATTAATTGAAGAACAAGAGGCCTTCTTGTAACAATACCTGACCCTCTTGGCAAAAAATCTCTGCAAGAATATGAAATTATATTACATATAAAGTCAAAAATATAATCTAATGAAAAATATTTATATGAAGCATAAGAATAAGAACATTAGGACCCTTGACAATTTGACAAATGAAGGGAGAGAAAGCTAATAACAAAGTCGTACAAGTTAGCCAAAACTTGATATGAACGGGTGAGCGACCAAAAAAAGGATTGTATTGTATTATAGATTTGTATAGTCTATTTGGTCATCTTTAGAAGCGGTAATGGTGCTTCGTTTTGTTGACAAAATAATGTTTCAATCAGCTTCTGAGTACTTGACGACTGATGTTAGTATCAACTTTTAGGTCAAGCGGCAATAAGTTCTAAGTCTTGGCTGCTCAACAGGAAACTCTCCTACACCTAAATGAGATGTTTTGAACGGAGGAAAGACAAGATCACAGTGTTTTGCCGATCTCAGCCTATTTCTTTTAGGAACATTCCAAATTGAGGATGTTACCAGGGGAACATAAATTTTAGATCGTCATAGAGAAAAAGTTACAAAAAATATGCAATGGTTTGGGTTAGTTTAAAATTATAAACTGGTATTGGTATTGCAACACGATAATGACATAAACAAAATAAAAAAACTTTGATGGCCTTAGAATAAAGGTTTGAAAACTTACAGTTTTAAATAAGAAAAGCAGATTTAGGAAAAAATGATGGTGCATATTAAAAATTGCAGGAAAGTTGTTAGAAAGTTGTTAGTGTTGTTAAAAAGTTGTTAGAGATGAATTAACAAGATTTAGAATAATAAGCAAGAAAACTGAAAAAAACCTTTCAAGTAATGAGGTTGGAAGAAGATAGGAAAACAAGTATTAGGCGACATAGAATTAATAATTTTGGTAAGATCAGCAAGTAAGTGAAGTAGGAGCAAAGATAAAGACTTACCAGTAAGTTTAGGAAAAGATAAAGAAGTCAGAATTAGAATTTTATGTAGAAATAATTTTATTAAAAATATAATCATGATATTACTGAACTGAGAAAGTGAGATACGTTTTTATGAAGAAGACAAAAAAGAGCAGACCACTTGTTCAATCTGATAAGAAGAAAAATTAGTAGGAGAGTGAGTTAACCTATAAGACTATTCAAGTTTTCTAGGACAACACTAAGCTAAGAGACATTTATGATCAAACCAAGGAGCACAAGAAATAGTTTTAACAGACACTAATTTATCAAGAATATAATTTAAACTGTTTATAAAATCAACATCATAATAAGTGAAAAAATCAAAGCAAGCAGAAGTGAGACATGAAAGAAATAAACCTTTATCAGTCTTAGACCAACACCTATTATTATTGTTAACAGTAGCAGTAGTTTTAGCATTGAAAAAATTGAAAAAAGAGAAGACTTAATAAAATAGTGATTAGAAAAGTGTAAGGAAGTTGAAGAATTATCTAAAGGTTTAGTAAATGAAGAGGCAATAATAAAATCAATTATATTACCAGATTTATGAGCAGGAAAATAGCAATATTGAGAAAGATTAAATAAAGAAAGTAAATCAATAAATTTAAAAGTGTAAATATTAGTTAAATTATTAAAGTGCTTATTAAAATCACCAATTATATATAATGACAGTATATTGAGAGATTCAATCAAAGTAAAAAAATTCTTCCAAAAATAAAGAAAGAGAAAAAAGAAGGTCTATATAGAGAAAATAAAAAATGAACAATGTGAAAATTTGAAAGAGAAAACTAGACATTCAAATTATAGGCAATTAATATAAAATTCATTAAACTGTTGAGAAAAAATTGATTTATAAAAGAAAAAGATAGACGCTACCATTGTAAGAATGAAAAGATGATATAGGTTTTTTATGAGGTCTAGAAAGTTCAACAAAATTATAGTTAGTAGGAGTAGAAATTATAAGTGAAGTAGAATCATTATTTCCACGCCAGGTTTCAATGAGAAAAAGAAAATCAGGTGAACAGGTAAATAAGAAAAAAAGGATGTCAGAAATATAAATAGATTTTTTATTAATAGATCTTATGGTAAGAGATATAGTATTAAATTAGTTAAGATTTTTGAAGTTATTATTAGTCTTATTATGGTTGAAGAAAGAATTTTTTTTAATTTTATTTGGCTGTGAATTAAATGTAGAACATAATTTTGACTTAAAATAATTAGTTACAGGTTTAATGTATTAATTAGACTTTGTAGAATATGATTTATTTATTTATTTATTTATTATATTATATCATTAAAAAATTGGAAAAAAATTATGTTTAGTCAGATATGATTTTGAGATAAACGTAGAACTTAACTTAGGCTAAGAATAATTCAGTTTAGATTGAGGATTTGAAAGATTAAAATAAAATAAACTTCACCTTATTTTTCTAGGGGGAAAAGAAATTAAAGAGAGACTAAGTAAAAATTCACAAGCGTAAGTAGTAGGTATGACATGAGTCAAGACAAATAAAATTATATAAGGTAAATAAATAAGTCAAACTGATAAATAAGGATAATCAATCTTCGTTTAGCGTCCAGAGACCCAGTTTTTCGAGGTAGGTCGTTGTTTTCTTTGCCATCAACTTTTTGCGCCAAAGTAAAAGCATTGATAAATAAGGATCAATCAATCTTCGTTTTTCGTCCAGAGACCCGGTTTCACGAGGTAGGACGTTGTTCTCTTAGCTATCAACTTTTTGCGCCAAATTATACGATCAGTTGTATCCATTTCATTTAAATTTAGAGCTTTCATGTTTTGCTCGATTGTTTGCGACCAGGACTTCTTTGGACGGCCTTTGGGACGTGTGCCAGGTACTTCAACATCTGCAAGAAAAGTTATGGCACTGTTTCTACTTCGTTTGACATGACCAAACCTCCGCAGACGGTGTTGCCGGCATTCGTCCTTTATATCATCTAAACCAGCACAGCGCAGGATTTCGGTAGATTTGATGTGGTCCTTCAGACTAATTCGTTGCATCCATCGGAGCATTTTCATGTCGGTTCGTTGAAGTTGTTGTTCCAGTTTGGTTGTCATTGGCCATGTTTCTGCACCATATAACAACACCGGACGTATCACAGATTTATAAAGTCTTGACCGTTGTGGTAGTGGGATGTGACGCCGCATCAATATAGAGGCAAGGAGATGCCATTTACTCCAGGCTGCACGTATGCGTGCGCGAACGGCAGCTTCAGCTGTTCCAGTACAATCCAGAACATCCCCTAGATATTGAAACGATGTGACTTTCTCTACCTTAATGGCTTCAAAAACATTGCTATTTCGAATTTGTTGTTGTGGATTGATGCAAGCAGGACAAACAAAATTGGACACTTTAGATAAAATACCAATTATTTTTGAACAACGTTTGTGACACCATTGGTTACACTGCTGACACTTGATTGAATTGCTACCTACACCAGCTTTACAAACTGAACAGTGCCATCGTCCAGTAGATGTGGATTGGATGGGTTCACCAGTGTTCATTGCTTTGGTTTTGCCGATGTTGACTTTGAATCCATGATCGGCGAGTCTGGTGTTCCAATCTTCAAACATCTGTGCTGCATTCTACTCAGACGTGGCTGTTAAAACGATATCACCAGCATATATTAGATTCCAAATGTCATCAGTGCGTATCGATTTTGTGATTTCTTCCATCACTGTGATTTCTTCTATCTTCCGACTGAGAATCGAGCCTTGGTGAACTTCAACGCCGATGTCAAATGCATCTGTGTTTCCAACATTTGTGCTGACAAGAGTCTTAGTATTCGTATACATTTCCATCACAAGTCGAACAAGATATTCTGGAATGAGTTGTCGACGTAGACTCCACCTGAATGCTTCACGGGGAACTCGATCAAATGCTTTTTCAAGGTCTACAAAAATGTGTGATAGTTATTGATGCTTTGCGAGGTACTTCTCTTGCAGTTGCCGAAGGATGTGAATTGCATCAATTGTTGATTTCCCCGCTAGGAAACCAAATTGATAATTTCCGATTGTGATGCACGACGTTAATCTTCTCTCAATGATTTTCTCGACAATTTTCAGGGAGTGTTTTAATAGACGTATACCCCGATATGATGAACAGTTCAATGGATCGTCTTTGCCTTTGTATAGCGGGACTGTCATGCTATAGTTTTATTCAGTCGGCATTGAACAATTTCTCCAGATTTCACGGCAAAGTTGTAGTAAAGTTTGGATACCTGCAGTACCAGATGCTTTGATAATGTCATTTGTGAGTCCAGAGGGCCCTGCTGCCTTTCCATCCTTCATAGCTTTCAGAGCTTCTGTAAGCTCCTCTACAGTGATATCTGGAATCGGACCTTCGATGGGTGGAGCATCAAAGTTAACAATGATGGGATTTGTTTCGTTTAACAGACGGTTGAAGTATTCTCTCCACTGTGGCTTGATCTCATCTTGTTCAAGAACCATCTCATTTTTGTCATTTTTGATACATGAGGCACCAACTATGTCTTTTTTCGTACGCTTTGCTTGTTTTGCTATACGATATAGAGATTTATTTGTTCACCTTTGCTTTTAGTGAGCCATTCTCTGCACTGATCTGTCCGAGCCAGTGCAACTTGACGTCTTGCATAGTTGTTCTTCTCAAGGAAAATTTTATGGTCATCAACAGACTTTGATTTTTGCCATTGCTTGTATGCAACTTTCTTTTCAGCTATTGCATTTTGTACACTGTCATTCCACCAACAAGTGTCCTGTTCATGCTGACGTTTTGCACCAGTTTTCCCACAAACTGCAGTTGCAGCGTTCATCAAAACGGTTTTGTATGTACTCCAATCTGTACTGGCTTGCGATTGGTGGTCTAACTGTGTGGCGACAATCTGTTGAAATTTTTCTCGATGGATATTGCTTTTCAGCTTCCACATTTTCATTCTCTGAGGCATTTGTTTAGACTTAAGTTTTGATAGTTTGACAACCAGGTCTGCCACAAGGAGTCTATGTTGGGCGACACATGATTCGCCAGGTATAACTTTGACGTTTTTGAATAGCCTTCGGTTTTGTTGCTTGACAGCGAAGAAATC